GTGCACGTGTGTGCTGCTTGTTTATGTTTATGTAGATGTGTACAGATGCCTATGGGTGCATGTGCACACTTGTGCATGTAGACAGCAGAAGTTGGCATCTGGTCTTTTCCTCAATCTTTGTACACATTATTTTTTTTAAAGATCTATTTATCTTTATTTTATGTGTGTGAGTGTTTTGCCTGCATGTAGGTATGGGCACCATGTGTGAGAGTGCCCAGGAAGTCAGAATAATACACTGGATCACCTGGAGCTGGAGTTAGAGATGGTTGTGAGTTGCCATGTGGGTGCTGGGAACCAAGGTCAGGTCCTCTGCAAGAACAGGAAGCTCTTAACTGCTAAGCTCTCTTTCCATCTTTTTTATTTTTATTACAGAAGGTTTTGCATTGAAACTGGAGCTTATTAATTTACCAAATATTCAAACATAGGAGCCTATGGGGGACATTCTCATTCAAACCACTAGAGGCTTCATGGTTACAGTCCTCCTCCATGGTTAAAGACTTCAATAAGGACTTCGATTCAAATCCCAGAACTCATGTAAAGATGGGAACATGTTTGTAATCCCAGTGCCCCTATTGTGAGACAAGAGAACTCCCAGAAGCTCACAGGCCTGGAATCATTGGTGTTGAGTAACAAAGTAAGCTGTCTTTAACAAGGCAGGAGGCAAGGATATATACTGGAGGTTACCCTCTGATCTCCATTCATGCCATGGCATGCATGCACCTGACCTTGTACGCATTAACCGGCACACACACATACTTGCAAACATCATGCACACATCACATGTGCAGATATTTAAAAATCAACTTGAGCTGGGCGGTGGTGGTACACGCCTTTAATCCCCCCAGCACTCAGGAGGCAGAATCAGGCAGATCTATGTGAGTTCAAGGCCAGCCTGGTCTACACAGTGAATTCCAGGACAGGTTCCAAAACTACACAAAGAAACCCTGTCTGGAAAAACAACAACAACAAAAAATCAACTTGATTAAAGAGTAAGTATTATCTATACCAAAAACCATTTGCTTTATTTTGACAATGTTTGGGAAAATTTGTATGACCATTGTAATTAACTGTCAAATTGATAAAAGGTAGAATCACGTGGGAAGGGAGCCTCAGTGAGGGACTGTTTCATTGGGTTGGCCTATGGGAGACTGTCTTCATTAAATTAATTGCTGTGGGGAGACTCAGCTCATTTTGAGTGGCAGCATTTCCTAGGCAGGGCATTCTGAACTATATATGAAAACACAGCTGAGCATACGGAAGCAAGCAACTGAGCACGTGTGCATTAATTTCTTTCTGTTGTTGACTGTGGACGCGATGTGACTGGCCATTTGACGTTCCTATTGCTTTGACTTCCTTGCTATCGGTGACTGGAACTCGGAATTGGGAACTAAAATAGACCCTTTCTCCCATAAGTTGCTTTTTGCCAGGGTAGTTGATCAGCAACAGAAAACCACGGACAACTAGGGAAGCCATGTAGTTGGCACCCTGCTTATGACAGGAAACAAACCTTCCAGAGACTTTTCCCAAGCAAATCAACCCAAACCCATGCTCTAGGAAGCCTCTAATCTACCTTTTCTGATTTTGGATTTGAACATAGTCTTTTCCTATGTTTCCTAAAGTCAGAATTATGTAACACTCTCTTAAGTCTGTACTTTGTGGTCCACCTAAGTGCTTTGTTCAAGTACTTTAATTTCAAAATAATTACAGATTGCAAGAAAATTGCCAAGACAGTACATTCAAGTTTCATATGCTATTCACCCAAATCCTTCAATTATGACATCTTACAAAATGACTCAAAACACAACTCTTACCTCTAAGAAAATAAGAGATATTTAGTGTGTGTGTGTGTGTGTGTGTGTGAGCTTATGCACGCACCCATGTGTAGTATGCAGAGCCCAAGGGTCAATGCCAGGTATCTGCTATCGCTTTTTACTTTAGTTTTTGAGGCAGGGTTTCTCTCTGAATCTGAAGCTGTTTTGGCTAGCAGTGAGCTCCTGGGATCTGACTGTCTCTGTCCCTCAGCATCGGGGTTACAGACACAATGGCTATGGCTGGGTTTATGAGGGGTCAGGGATTTGAACTCAGGTTCTCTTGCTTTCATGGCAAGTGCTGTTATCCATTAAACCATTGCCCCTCGGCCCCAAATATGAGTCAAATATGAATGACCATGACCCAGAAACATGGATTCATGTTTCTCCAAATAATATATTCCAATATGGACCTGTCATCAGGATCAAGGACAAGATCACAGTTCCACACTGTCACCCACAATAGCCAGAGAGTTCCTTAATCTTTAGGGAACTTGAGTTAGATAAAGCTGGATCCTTAGCTTTGGTGCAGAAAATAATTTCAGAATGCGTCTCTGTGAAGCAGAGTTAGAGGGTTTTTTGTTTGATTTTTGTTTTGTTTTAAACAAGAACAATTTTAGGGGCTAGAGAAGTGGTTCCGAGGTTAAGAACTGGCTGCTCTTGCAGAGGACCACATGGTGGCTCTCAATCATCCAGTTCTAGGGGATCTGATGCCCTCTTCTGGCCACCACAGATATCAGGCACACATATGGTGCACAGTGCCTATGTGCAGCCAAAATACTAAGACACATAAAATAAAAAAAAATCTAAAATAAAAACAACCAAACAAAAACAACTCCTACAGCTCCCAACAACCTCCCCCCAAATAAAACTCGAATGAGAAGTTGTGGTGACTGAAATAGATGACGCTGGGAATTAGCCAGGGCCATTTTCAGGGAGGTCATTCTGCTGATTCACTTTTCCTTTTTAAAAAGATTATATTTTATTGATTAAATTATGTGTATATGCGTGTCTTGTGGGGGTACATGTCCATGAGTGCAGGTATCCTTGGAGTCCAAAAGGGCACATTAGATCCTCTTGACCTGGAGTTACACACAGTTGTGAGCTGCCGTGTCAGTGCTGGGAACTGAATTTAGGTCCTCTGCAAGAGCAGCCAGTGCTCTTAACCACTGAGCCCTCTCTCCAGCCTTCACTTCTCCTTTATGTAGGAGGTAGGGTTGTTTTCCAGGAACTCATGGATTTTTTTTTGTTTTTTACTTTTCTTAAAAAAAATTAAAAACCCACTATGGGTTTCCTCCTTCCATTGCTTCTCCTTATGTCTGGGTTCAAGTTACAGTCTCTTGTGGAGACTCTTTTATTTCAGTTTTCTTCTTTAAAAAAAATGTGAGCCAGGTGGTAGTGGCGTATACCTTTAATCCCAGAACTTGGGAGGCAGAGGCACGTGGATCTCAGCCTGATCTACAGATTGAGTTCCAGTACAGCCAGGACTGTTTCACAGAGAAACCCTGTCTCAAAAAACCAAATATATATATAGTGTATATGTGTGTGCAAGTGTGTGTGTGCTTGTGTATATGACACTAGCCTGTGTGCCACATTGCATGTATGTACATATGTATGGCATTTGAATGTGTGTGCATGTGTGTGAATATAACTGTGTACTCCTGTGTGGGTATGCTTGCAACCATGCACCAAGGAGGATGTCAAGTACCTTCCCTTGACACCTGCCTTATTCCCATGAGACAGGTTTCCCCAATGAACCTGCAGTTTGTCTCCTGTCTCCATGCGCCACCGCCTCCTGCACCAAGGTTATGGAGTATGCACAACCACACCCATCTTTCTACGGGTTGCTAGAAGTTGAACTCAGGTCTTCGTGCTCCTGTAGCAAGAGCTCTACCCACGGAGCCATCTACATGCTTATCTACATGAAACACATTCTAATTCAGGGGCTGTGGCTGTGGCTTCATTGTTAGAGTAAACATTTTCCTGGCATGCATGAAGCCCTGGGTTCCATGCCCAACATAGCAGAGACTGAGAGTGATGATCCATGCCTGCAAGGTTGGTACTCAGGGGTGGAGGCAGAAGGATCACAAGTCCAAGGTCATTCTGAGTTACATATCCTGCTTGAGGCCAGCTTAGAATATATGAGGCCCCATCTCATAAAAAAAAAGTAGAGAGAATTAAATAAGTAGGTAGCCTCAGGATTCTTTTTTAAGAGTTAAAATTTGGTCAGATGAGCAGAGAATCCTGTTAAACAACACTGAGCAGCCAACAATTCAGACTGACAGGATTAAAAGGCCTGAGAACAGGAGACGGTTCATCTTTCCTGTAGTCCCTTATAGGAAATGCTTCGTGGTTTCTTTAAAACAAAACAAAACAAATCAGAAAAGCATGATTTGGGAAGGCTTACCGGGTAAAGACACTTGCCGCCAAGCCTGACTACCTGAGTTTGATCCCCAGGACTTACATGGAGGGAGGAGAAAATCAACGCCTGAGACCCTGAAAATTGTCCTCTGACCTTCACGAGAGTGAAGAGGCATATGAATGTGTCATAAACACACACACAAAATTCACACACACACACAAAATTCACACACACACACATATTTAAAAATATAACATATGAGGAAGAAGTGAAGAAGATAAACTTAAAGTAAATAAATAAATAAATAAATAAATAAATAAATAAGTAAATAAATAAATAAATAAATAAGGGGCTGGAGAGATGGCTCAGCAGTTAAGAGCACTGGCTGCACCTAGCAGTGATGGCGCACGCCTTTAATCCCAGCACTCAGGAGGCAGAGCCAGGTGGATCTATGTGAGTTCCAGGCCAGCCTGGTCTACAGAGGGAGATCCAGGACAGGCACCAAAACTACACAGAGAAACCCTGTCTTGAAAAAACTAAAAAAAAAAAAAAAAAAAGCACTAACTGCTCTTCCAGAGGACCTGGGTTCAATTCCCAGCATCCACCTGGTGGCTCACAACTGTCTGTAACTCTGGTTCCAGGGCATCTAACGTTCTCTCTTGGACTATGTGGTCACTGCATGCATGTGATGCATGTGCATCCATGTAGGCAAAACAGCCATACACATAAAAGAAAAAATAAAAAATGAATAAATAAACTCAGATTGTATAGAAAGATGAGTCTAGGCTATTGACAAAAGAATATTTATTAAAAATATGTGCTCTTTCAAAATACATATCATCTTTAGATCAAAGGAAGTTAAATAAGTATTATTTGTTCACAACTCAGTAATAAAGAGTAAATTTCAAACAAGAATTTATATTTACATGAAACAAGTATCTGTAAGTAGAATCCAAAAACCCACAAGGCATGGTGGCACACACCTTTAATCCCAGCACTTAGGAGGCAGAAGTAGGTGGGTCTCTCTGAGCTTGAGGTCAGTCTGGTCCTAGTGAGGCTCTGTCTCAAAACAAAACAAATCGATAAAAAAAACCCGAATCTTCTCTTAGAGAATATTTACACATAGGAAAGTTTTAACATCCATCATAAAACTGCAATAACTGCATGCTTTCAATCCACAATACCTCAAAACTATTCAAAATAAATAATTCTATGATAAACATTTATAGACTCCAATAAAAATATGAAATATATTAAAGCTTTCTATTACAAATATATGGCTCAAATACTATATTTTGAAGGTAGGTCCCTCCTCATCTGAGCCCTGAGTGCCTCCTTCAAACGGCCTGAGTCTTTGGAGACAAATTATAGGCTTTCAGCTGCTACCTCAGGGAGAGGGGACTGAGGACATTCAGGATAACATTTAGCTGGTGCCGCTGAGTAGAATGGGCCCTGGAGGAATCCTGATTTCTTATTTCTCCTCCAGAGCCCCTACATGTGTTCCCATTCCCAGGAGCACAGTGTGGTGATTCCATTCCACTCCTTCTAGAAGAATCATGGTTCTTCTAGTTTCTTGTGCAAGGCAGTCCTCTCTTCTTTCCCCCAGCAGCCCTTAATGTTGGCATAGAGTGTCTCCCTCAGGCACAGGGATCTGGAGGGAAGAGGGAGGTCATGTCAGACTTCATACATGCAATTCTTCAAGCAAGAACAAGAGTTATGTCCAAAGTCAATCCTAACTAGAGGTTTGAACATTTGAGAAGTGGAAACTTATGTGGAACCCTTCTTTCTTTTGTCTGTTGTTCTGTGGTGCCCAGGGTCAGGCCCCGAGGCTCCTGTGTGGTGGGGAAGTGCTCTATCACAGAGCTCATGACCCTTCATTCTTGGTAGTTGTCATTGTTTGGGAGATTTTTAAAAAGTGTGTACCTGTGTGTGTCTGTGGTGGTGGTGGGGGTAGGAGGGGTTGTCCATGTGGGTGCAATGTCAGAGGAGGTCAGAAGAGGGCATCAGATTCCTGGAGCTCGGGTTGGGTCCTCTGCAAGAACAGCAAGTGCTCTTTCCAGATGAACTGTCTCTGACCCCTGCTGTTGTTTTGAGAAGGCACTCCTGTGTCAGTCTTGGAGCACACTACTCCGATCAGATGGGCATTGAACAGTTAGTGGGCCTCCTGCTTCTGCATCCCAGGTGCTGAAGTTAAGGCTTTCACAACCGTGCCTGGCTGACCCTGATTCTTAACCCCTAAACCTAAAGCATCATTTTCAAGTGTGATTTTCAGACTAGTTGACTTAGACCTCCAGAATCACCTAAGCCACCTCATGTGGGCCCAGCACTCTGCTTGACAGCAAGGATCAGAGGAGACTGCCTGTGGTGTGGACTAGCTTCTCAGGATAACTGATTCACATTTTGCTCCTCTTTGTTCACTTGTTTTGAATTTTTATTGCCATTTATGTGTGGGGGCATATGTGTACCACAGTGGGACTGTGGCGGTCAGAGGACAATTTGCGGGAGTTGGTTCTTTCCTTCTGCCATGTGAGTCCCGGGGATTAAACTTACATGGCAGCAAGTGCCTTTCCCTGCTGAGCTATCCTGTTGGCCATTGAGTTTCTCTCTCTCTCTCTCTCTCTCTCTCTCTCTCTCTCTCTCTCTCTCTCTCTCTCTCTCTCTCTGTGTGCATGAGAGGGGGGGGGGTCCTCAGGCGTCATTCACTTTGTTTTTTTAAAAATATTTACTCATTTTTTACTTTATGCATATGGGTATTTTGCCTGCATGTATGTCTTTGCACCATGTGCATGCAGTGCTCTTAGAGACCACAAGAGGGCATTGGATCCTCTGGAACTGGAGTTATGAATGGTTTTGAGCCACCACGCAGGTGCGGGGAATCAAACCTGGGTCCTCTGGAAGAGCAGCCAGTGGTCTTAACTGCTGAGCCATCTTTCCAGCCCGTAACTGATTTTTGGAGACTGTCTCTCACTGTCCTAGCCCTCACCAATTCATTTGGTTGGTTATCCTGCCAGGCCCAGGGATCTGCCTGTCTCCCCCTCCCTAGTGTGGGGATTCCAAGCCCGTGCCACAGTGCTGGGCTGTTTTGACATGGTTCTGGGCATCAGGTCCTCATGCTTGCAAGGCAAGAACTTTACTGACTCATCTATCTGTCTACTCCTGAGCCTTTGAAGGTTAAACACACTCAAGGTTCCAATCTCTTGCTGTATCCTGTCAACTCTTGGATGAACATCCTGACATAGACAGAGCCACTTGGCCATGCCTCACCCACTATGGTGGTCTGAAACATGGCACAAATTAAACCTTCTCTTCAGTTCTTTCCATGAAGTATAGAGTGTCCCCAAAGTAACTAACGAAGGTGATCCTGAAAACTTGAGCACAAACTTGAGTGCAAAGGTGTAATTGTGGCTGGGGCAATGGCTCAGTGGATAACCTTGCTGAACAAGTCTGGAGACTGGAGTTTGGCTTCCCAGAACCCACATACAAGCTAGGCAGGCCTGGCAGACACCTGTAGTCCTGATACATAATAGGCACAGACAAGGATCTCTGGAGAACATGGGCTAACCAGACTAGCTGCCATTGACGAGCTCTGGGTTCACCAACACACTATACCACAATAGATAATAGATAAAATGGATAGACATCAAGGAAGACTCAGCATTAACTGCTGCCCACCCCCACAGATGTGCACCACACACACACACACACACACACACACACACACACACACACACACCCCCATACATACACACGCACACCATACATACACACACTCAGAAAACAGGAAAAACAAATGTAAATTATGGAGGTGTGGAATTGTAGAGCTGCAGAACGTGAAGGGGGAACAGAAATTCATATTTCCTCAAACACATCTGGACCTAGTTGGTTAAAGTAGAAGGATTTCTACTCAGTTCAAGTCCTTGTGACAAAAATGTCCACTTCCAAGGTCAGCTGGCTGGCCTCCAGGTGCATAGCCTGTCTCCCCAAGCTTGCGCCTCCTGGTTGTCATTGCTGTGTATGCAGTGATGAGGAGGGTCTGGCTGTGTGTGTGGCTGGGATTGCTCACAATATGGAGGTAAGTGTGGGATGTGAGTATGTCATGTGTGTGTGTGTGTTCTGTGCCTTTCCTAACCAGACCACAGACAGATGTACACACTTTAAAAGACACCAAGGACATACCTAACTCAGGCCAATGGACTTAGGCCTCCATGGCTCTAGGGTTCTAAGTAAGGTTGGTGCGATCCCGTGCCCACACCCATAGCTCTGGGTTGTAAGCTTGGATCTGGAAAAAAACGACAACAAAACAAAACAGTTCCATGAGAAGTTCCAGATGTTGGCTCTCCTGGAAGACTCCATGTCCTCGGATCCACCTTCAGCTCTTCCCCAACCCCACCTCTCATATTCAACTGCATCCCTCTCTCTGTCCAGCCTACTCTTCTGCACCCCATGTGCCCCACACCCACCCACCTCTTCGCACTCCTCCTGGGACACCCAGATCTTCCAGTCCATGGACCGAATGAGCTGGAACCGCAGTTTGTGGAACATGGGGCGCTGGGCATAGCTCTTCCCATAGAGGAAGTAAAAAATGTCTTGTTTAGGGGCCTGGTTGTCCTCCTCCATGTCATTGGCCAAGTACCTGGGGAAGAAATCAGGGCGTTATATGGTTCTTTATCAAAGAGGACCCAGAAGGGAGGCTGGGGGGCATTTCATCACTGGATGGCATCAGTCCTGCCTACAGTCCACTGTGGAGCTGAAGAAGACAAGCATCTACAGAGCCCACTGCTGTCCTTGCTGTTCGTGACATGAGATGACCTCTGGATTCCCTTTCAATCCGTCCCCCTCCCCTAGGCTTGTGTTGTGTGCACACACTGGTGTCAGCTCAGGCTCAGCACCTAAGGGTTTGGTCTCCTTCCCTTCTCTTCCCCTCCTTTCAGTGGCTGATACAATCAACTTTTCTGAGTTCTCTTTCCACTGCCTCATGGTATAGACAATGCCCTTTGTAGGGTTTGTTGGATGAATCAGTGAACAAATGAATGAATGAATGGACAAATGAATGAATGAGTGAACAAATGAAAGTGATAGTTAAGGCAAAATGTAATACTGATAACTTCTTTGACTGAGTAGTATAACCTGACCACTCCCAACATAAAGAATTAAGGTGTCCCAAGAATGAAGGGATATTTGACAAAGCCCCGCCTTCAATGGGTGTGCTGTAATAGGACTTAGGAAAGGGAGGGGCAACACCAGAGACTATAATCCCAAATATCCTACCATGATAGGAGTCCATTGCAATATTGTTGGAGGCAGAAGCCGGAAGATCAAGGAAGGCAGCCGAAGGGAGGCGTTGCCAATTTTTCATTTGATTTGAATTGTCCTGATATATTGCCCAAGTTGTCCCCGAATGCCTGAGCTCAAGACATCATACCACCTCAGTCTCCTGAGCTGCAGGACGCTCCTCATCATGCTGATTGGTTTCAGAGTTTGAACAGACTTTAGGGGGGTTAACTGTCTCCAGGCACACAACTGTGAGATACTCGCATAGAAAACACAAGATCAAACCGAGGGCAGGGCATTGGGAAGGAGCCAGCCAGGGATGGAGGGAGTATCAGGGTGATGAGGGAGTCAGGTTGGAGAGCACCTGGACAGAGGGCAGAGTTTACACTGGGCACTCCAGTCTCAGGGTGGAGGATGATTCTTGGTGCAGTTCTCTGGAAGCCTGGGAGGGAGTTGCCTGTGTTTTCCATACAAAACAGACCCACTAGACTGAGGACAGGTTGACAAGGTAAACCAGCAGGGAGCATTTTACCCAGGACTAGTGCAGCATCAGGAAGCCTGAGATGGACACCTGTCATGGAATCCAGGAGAGAAGATGGGACGGTGTGTGGTGTGTTCAGTACAGGGCAGACAGTAAAGGAAGCGCTGCAGCCCAGCGCTTGGGGATCACTTTAACTCCACCTTCCTCTCCTCTCAGGAGGGATCTGTGTTAGAACATAGCCACATAGTTTCATGCCCTCTCTTACCACTCACACAGACACTAGCAAGCCGCCCTCTGAGAGTCTGTCTTAAATCTCTAGCTTTCAACTGCCCAGATTTCTCAGTTCTCCAAGTGAGTTTCCAGACTCTCTGCTGGTGGGCACACATCTCTTCCTCCATCTGCCCTGCCTCTCCAGGGCTACGCAGAGAAACACTGTCTCAAAAACCAAATCAAAACAGATAGAAAAGGAAGAGGAGGAGGAGGATGAGGATGAGGATGAGGAGGATGAGGAGGAGGAGGAGAAACTGAGCAGCAACCATTTCAGATCACCTGCCCCCTTTAAACCCCAAATCCCAGATCTTTCACTGTTTGCTCTTGTTTTGTTGAGTTCTTTCATTTTATTACTTTATCCATGCACGGGTGTTTTCCCTGCATGTATGTCTGTGCACATGTGCATGCTTGGTGTCCAAGAAGGCGAGAAGAGGGTTTCAGAACCCTTGGAACCACAGTTACAGATGGCTGTGAGGCCCCGTGTGAATGCTGGGAATCAAATCCAAGTCCTCTGGGGAAGCAGGCAGCACGTTAACTGCTGAGCCCTCTCTCTAGCTTCCTGTTCAGTCTTTCAGTGTGTGTGTGTGTGTGTGTGTGTGTGTGTGTGTGTGTGTGTGTGTGTGTATGCAAGTGTGTGCAGCATGTATACATGTGGGTGTGTAGATGCATGTTTGTGCATGTGTGCCTGTGTGGAGGCCAGAAGTGAACATCAGGTATTGATCCTCGGGAACCATCTACCTTGTGTTTTTATATAGGCCTCTCCCTGGAACACAAGTCTTGCCAGTGAGTCTAGGCTGGCTCGTGAGCGAGTCCCAGGGATCCTGATGTCTCTTCCCTCAGCATTAGGATAATATCCACATGTTACTACCCATGGCTTTTCATTTGGGCTCTGGGGATCTGAACTCAGGTCCATAAGAATGTACCTTGAGTGCTTTACCAAGTGAACCATCTCTTCAGTGCCTTGCTCAGTGTTTTAAATGGACATTAGCTTGTTTTCCCTCATAAAGATACAAAACTAGGTATATGAGAGATGAAAGGTCAGAGGCTCAATTCTCATGACCCAACATCCAGGGCAGGGGACAGTGACCAACAGGAGGAGGCAAAATACTCACAGAGCCAGGAAGAAGTGGATTGGCCTAAACTGCCAGGAGAAGAGCCCTGCACGGCTGAAATAAGCTATGACCATAGACAGGAGGTACTGATGGAGAGAGGAGACAGGGAAGGAGAGGTCACACCCTGGAGAGGGAGAAGGCAGGGACAGGGAGGGGAGGCTGAGGTGGGTGACATGAGGCTCAGAGAGGAACCCAGAGTTTGGGGGGCCTGCTGGAGTGGGGAAGGGAGGTGAAAGGGGCCTTCAGGTGGGCCAGGCCAGAGGGAGCAGGCCCTCATTGCTCCAGCATGGCTGGCTCTGGGGCAGTTCTGAGGGAGAGCTTAGGACAACAGGGACGAGGAGGTCTTTGCCTGTCGGGAACAAAGGGTCCCAGGGAACTGTGAGGGGAGAAGAGGCAATTCCCAGGATAAGATGGTGACCGTGGGCTCAGACCCCGAGGACCCCAGAGAGGCATGGGCCTCCTGTCCTCTCTGTAAGACACTGTTGGGCCCTGAAGGGAGACACTGGCAGGATATCAAGGGTCAGGACTGTGTGGCTTCAGAGAGAACTGTGGAGGGACAGAGAGGACTGTGGGTCAGGGAGGTCCCTCCCCAGGCAGGACAGGATCTGGAGCCCAGCTCAGCACACCTTATCAGACACTCTCAGCATCTTGTCCCAGGCCAGGAATTTTTTCACCACGGGATCCTCTGTGAATGAAGCACATGTGTCATGGTGTGAACTGGAACAGCTTGGGAGAGAGGGCCATGAGAACCACCTCCCTGGGGGAGGGTCCAGGTAGGAACCCAGGATTAGACACAGGAGCAAAGGATGGAACAGGCACATTTGGCAGAGATCCACCTGAACCTCCTGGCGGAGGCGCTGAGAGAGGCTTAGAATACAGTGGCCTGTATACATGCTTAGATGCCTTCTATGTATATGTCATTCTGGAGTCAATCCAAGGTCTTGCATATGCTGGACAAGACTCTACCACTTTTGGGGAATATTATTTTAAGGTTGTTACTTTCGTTTATGTTGTATTTATTTAACTCTGTGAAGTTGTGATACTGTGCTTATCTAAAATACATGATGGTGTAATAAAGAACTGAATGGCCAATAACAAGGCAGAACAAAGGATAAGCAGGGCTGGCAGGCAGAGAGAATATATAGAAGGAGAAATCTGGGATGAAATTAGAAGTAGCCAGAGAAGGAGGAGGACCCAGGGGCAGACATCCAGCTACACAGCAAGCCACAGAGTAAGAAATAAAGAAAGGTATGTAGGAATAGAAAAGGAAAAGCCCAGAAGCAAAAAGTAGATAGATTAATTTAAGAAAAGCTGGCTAGAAATAAGCCAAGCTAAGGCCATACATTTATAATTAAGAAAAAGCCTCCATGTGGGATTTATTTGGGAGTTGGGTGGTGGGCCCCCAAAAGTGCAACAACAAACAACACACCACTGAGCTACATCCACAGCCAAGGACAAAGACGTCTCAACAGCTGACGTTCCCATTTGATGTCACATAAGGTTATGAACATGGATGTGTCGCCCTTGTGTGGATGAAGACACCCCAGCTCAGCAAAGTTAGAGCTAAGTTACAGTTGGGGTGGTGAACTCCAACCTCTCTCATTTCCATGTGGATCTATGTCAACTCTAGCCTAAGCCCCTGCCACCTATGCGTCCCTAAGAATCAACTGAGCTTGAGTCTCCCAGGCTGACAGAGCCCTGGCTGTGAGGGCAGCTTTCCCATGAGGAAGGAGGTTGACCAGAAGTTCCCTCTTTTGCCTAAGGAGGGAGTCATGCAGGTGTCACCTACCCAGCAGCCTGGTGAAGACTTTGTGGTGTTCAGGCCTCACTGCAGACACACGCTGCCTCTTTAGTTTCATCCTGAGCCCACACAGTGTCTCCACTGACCACACCGGCTCGGGTTCAGGGCCCCAAAGCTCTGCCAGGTCATCCTCAGAATCTGATGACAAGTCCCTCTTCCTCTTTGGGCTGGCAGATGGAGGCTGGGGGCTGGCCTCCACTCTTGGTTCTAAGTGAAGAAACCACACCCCTGTGTGAAGCTCTGGCTTTGATGACCTCAGCCCTGCCTCCCGGCACCCCAAACACCCCAAACCTCTTCAGCTTCTGCCTGTCCCCAAATATTTGTGCCTTTCCCTCTGTGCTGATAGCCACCTGCCCCTCATCTTGTCCCCATCGCCTCTCCCTGTTCCTCAAACTCTTCCTCATTAGAGATGAATTGTCCCCATGAAAAGGAAGTCTCTTCCTGTGTCCCCTCTTCTCTGTCCTCTCTCTGACCCTTGGTTCCTAACCCCTTCCTTGTTCTGTAGATTTTCTGTCCATGTGACGTCTGTGTCTGACCTGTTCTCCCTGCTTCCTGGGCCCTCCTTCCTCCCTCCTTCCTTCTCTCCTTCCATCCCTCCCTCCTTCCTTCCATTCCTCCCTCCCTCCCTCTCTCCCTCCTCCCTTCTTCCTTCCTTCATTTCTTCCTTCCCTCCTTCCTCCCTGCTCTCTCCTTCCTTCCTTCCATCCTTCCTTCCCTCACTCCCTCCCTCCTTCCTTCCCTCCCTCCCTCCTTCCTTCCCTCTTTCCCTCCTTCCTTCCTTCCCTCCCTCCTTCCCTCACTCCCTCCCTCCTCCCCTCCCTCCCTCCCTCCTTCCTTCCATGTCCTCCCTCCTTCCCTCTCTCCCTCCCTCCTTCCTTCCCTCACTCCTTTCTTCTTTCCTTCCTTCCTTCCATTCCTCCTTCCCTCTTTCCCTCCCTCCTTCCCTCCTTCCTTCCCCCACTCCCTCCTTCCCTCCCCCACTCCCTCCCTCCCTCCTTCCTTCCCTGTCCTTCCTCCTTGCTGCCACCCTCTCACATCTCTTCTCACACAGTCCCCTCACCTGATGGTCCTGAGATCTCCCCATCCACCACCACCCCAGTTGAGGACCTGGTGATGCCAGGCTGAGGACTCTGTTCCTCAGAACACAATGACAGTTGGCCAGTGGTCACGATTCTCCCAACCTGTTTCCTCCTGTCCACAAATCCCAGACTCTGATCTATCCCGCCCTCCTCCCTGACTCTCGCTGAATCCACACATGATGTCCCTTCCCTAGTCTGAGGAGATCTCAAGAGTCGAGCTCTGAGAAGACACTGCTGTCATTTGCCTAGCCCTGTTGAGTGTGGCCCTTCATATCAGGAGGTCAGGAGCCTGTGATGCCATCAGCTTTCAACCTGAAAACCAGCTTCAAAGAAAGCTTGTGTGATTTATGGATTAATGTGTCCATTTTCTCTCACAAACTAGGGTTGACATGTCTCCTGCCACTGACATAGACTCATTCTACGAACAAAACCATCTTCCATGTCTGGTTCCTACTTTCCCCTTTGTGTGCTGGGTAAGGGATGAAGGCTGGAGAGGTGCCTCAGTTGTTAAGAGTGTTTGGTGTGCAACCACAAGGACCTGAGTTCAAATCTCAGTAACCACACAAGGCAGACACAGACTCTCCAGTACCTAAAACCCAGGCAGTGTATGTGTGTGTGTGTGTGTGTGTGTGTATGTGTGTGTGTGAAGAGGGGACAGGAGTGAAGAACCAAAGCACCCCCATTTCAAGCAAGCCCCTCACCCCAGCTTGAAACAGGCCTGAGTTTCAAAATTCTCAGAGCTGCTGATATAGGTCCCAGGACAAAGTCAGGATGTTTGAAGAGCCATCTGGGAGCAACTGATTAACCATAGAATGCCCCGATGCTGGAGATGGTCAAAAGTACAAAGTCAGGATGTTTGAAGGACTATCTGGTAGCAATTGATTAACCACAGAATTCCCCAATGCTGGAGGTAGTCTATAAAGTTTAACAAATAACCAGTTAAAACTACAAAGTAAGATAACATAGAAATTCTGGAAAGCCCCTAAAACTAGAGCCAATCAGAATTATACCCATACTAGCACCCCTAAATGATGTAACCTTATGGTTTTTGCCTTTAAAAACTGAGCTTGCAGAGGGGTGGGCACCTCCTCTAGTCTCCGCTTTGTTGGGGTGCTTGACTGAGGTCCCAGCTGCGCAGCTTGAACTGCTTCAATAAACCTTGCTTTTGCATTTTGGTGAGTTGGTATCTCTGGTGGTCTCTTTGGGGGGTCTCACGCCCAGGGCACAACATTTGGGAGCCCGTCCGGGATTTTGGGGGGCCCTAGAGACCACAAGCCCCGAAGGTTTACACCGGCTGATCAGGTGAGTCTGTCTGTCTGTCTTGCTTGTTTGTTGTTTCTGTTTTCTGTTTCTCCTTTCTGATTGCTGCCAGCAGCTGTCTGTATCTGAGAGGTTCCGCTTTGGTGGCCGCACTGTAAAAGCAAACCCGGAGGAGTCGGGAGACATCCCCTCTTCTTGTCTGGGTAAGGTCTCGAGTTTGAGGCCACTTTGCCAGGGACCCCCGAGGGTCCCATCTGTAACCTGGAGGAGTCAGGAGACATCCCCTCTCCTCGTCTGGGCAAAGGTCTCCAGTTTGAGGGCACTTTGTCAGGGACCTGCAAGGGTCCCGTCTGTATCTGGGGATTGGGAGACTCTGTCGACGTGTCCCTGTCCCATCTGTAGGTCTTTGGCATAATCGAGGCTCCCTCTCCGGACTCCCATCTGCCTCGACCATCTGTCAGCGGAATTCTGTAAAGGGCCCTTGTTCTTCCTTTTTGTCCGACTGTCTTGTTCGTCAGTGTAATTTGTTATATTTCTGCTCATCACTTGTTTGCTGACACACTGCAGACCGTGACACAAGGGGGTTTTGTCTGCAGGCGCCAGGAGAGCTGTTTGTTGTCTTACGTTATAAAAAAGTTTTGTTTACATTTCTGTTGGAATGTCCTACCTATATGAATACGTAAGTGTGTAAAAAATGTGGCCCCATATATGTGTGTCTTATGCCTGAGCTTGTGTATGCATTATGACTGGATGGTATGTTGTGGGCTGGATGGCCAGCAAAAGAGACAGAGGTCCCTTTGGTTGCTTTCTTGCTCTCTGGCCAGAGTTCGGGCAGCGGGCAGGAACTAGCAGCAATGAGTCTGGCAGGCAGCGGCTGTGCAGCCCAGGGTGCTGCTGAGTGGGCTAGGAGGGCTGTGAGCACCACAGGGCCCAGACTCAGAGGCTGTGTGAGGACTAGGCATGGCTGGACACTGGGGTGGGCCATGAGCACTGTGGGGCCCTGACATGGCCAGCAGGTTCGGGCTGGGCCCCTGTGCAGAGAGCCATGGGGCAGAGCTGGCAGAAGCTGGCAGGGGCCCCAGAGGAGCTCAAAGAGTGGAGAACTAACTGCCCCTCCAGGGTCACAGCTGAGGAGTGGCCTACAGGTCTGTGGGCCCAGCCAGGGATAGGGAATCCCAGTCTGCCACTCTCATGCACTTGGAAATCTGAGGTTAACAGCAATCTTTTGTCCCCATGGTGCACGCCTTCCCTGTCCTCTTCCTCTTCCATGCTGTTGGGTGGAGCTCCCAAGACCTGCCCTGGGGCTAAAACCTGATTAAGGTCTGGTTCCAAGAATAAAATGTCACTGCCTATGGTTGCTAAGTTACTGCGACTATGTTATAAGGCTAACCAACAGTTTCTTGTCTGTGGTTCAGTGCTGATGCAAATTTAGAGTTATTCTTGTTATGGTATATGCATGTATTTCTGTTCTTGTTTAAAATATTGTAGCTTTACAATATATTCTAGACTATTGAGGGAAATCGCAAGGGTTTCTATGTTTAAAAAAAAGCAGAATTTATCTGGAATAAATGTCTGAGGGATCAAAGGAAAGGACTTAGGGTACATAAAAGGTTGTAGAAAGTCAGAGAGGATATGATGTAAACTATGTTTGCTATGATTTCTTATATCTGCAAATACTGAATTTAAAAGTTAATTCTGGTTGGTTTTCATTTTTAAAAATGGCTAATGATTCTGCAAACTGCTTATGTATGTATGTATGTGGACAGGTATGTGACTTGGATTTAACTATATGTGTAAATGTAAGCTAGCTTTAATGGTATGTATATGTATGTAACTTGGATCCAGCTGTTTATATGTATGCAAGTAATTATTGTTTAAAAAACATGCTTTAAACAGCAACCACGTGGTGACCTCATGGGCAGCCATATGAATGGCAGCCATCTTTTACTAAGGTTATAAAGATCTACTCAGGTTAACACCTAAGTACTTATGTCTTTACCAAATGTTTAACAACAAGTTTCTAGAGAATTTAAATAGATGGCAACATATGTTTAATAAATAAGTTATTTAATAAACATTAAAGTTGCACCTCAATGCTTTTATACACAGGAATATACCTTGCTCTGGCAGCTAAACTTTGTAATTTAAGATTTACCCATGTAATAAAATGATAATGGTTTTAAAGACATAAAAGGATCATAGGAAACAGCTGAGGTTTGCAAATGTATGACAGGACTAGAGTCCCAAAAAGAGTCTAGTTGCAAAGGCGGACCTTAGCAGTTTAAAAAATGCCAGTGCCAGATGATGATCACTGGAAGCACCAGCCATAATGAAATAAAGCAGGCAGGCTATTTATGTGCTGCCAAGGATAGGGTCACAGTCATAAGCTCCACATGTTAACCAGGAACTGGGATGTTCACTTCTTGTGATTCAGCAAGACAATGACCTAAGCAGTCTGACAAAGGGCTTAAAATAGCTTCTGACTCCATGAGTCTTCATCCTTGGAGGGTTAAAAAAAAATCTTTTTACTGGGGTGGCCTAGGACCACCTGTATGTCAGATGTTTGCATTAAGATTCAACAATGGCAAAACTGCTGTTATGAAATAGCATTGAGAAAGTTAAAAACCAGTGACTTAGAAAATGTTTCTCCTTACCCAAGGTACATTCAGGCTTAAGAATGTTGTCTAGCCTCCTTGTATTTGCTAAATTTGTTAAGCTTAAGCTATTTGGATAAACTGATTCATATATGTTTTATATTAATGTTTTGTTTTAGTTTCTTTACTGAATCCATGTTTGATGCTAAAAGAGCTTCAATTTAAAATCATTGTTTTTAAGGCTACTTTTGTAGACTGTTAAGGAACATAAGTA